AATAAAATTTCAAATTTAAGGCCCATTTTAGCCCATATTTAATAGGAATTAAAATCTGAATTTTATTTAAGTCAAAATCAATAATAGTTTTAACCACATAATTCATAGGACTCAAAACCTTTCAACCACGTATTTCATCAATTTTTATAGAAATCTTCAAAAATTTTAATTTTAATACCCACCGAACAAGTGCTAAAGTTGGCCCGATAAAATACCTCCCCTTTGCCCTTGCCTTCCAAACGAATTATACTATTTGTAGTCATTCTTTAATTTGAAACAAGACAAGACAAAATCATAATAAGATGTACACAAGTCACATGCTAGTTTGTTGCCAATACTACCAACCAAGTAAATGAAACAGAAAACATCAAAAGGTTTGGTAGAGCCACCACCAAATTTGCTTTTCCATAGCTTTAAACAAACAAGATTTACTCTTCCTCTCACTATCTTTTTCCTATTAATACCAACATTTCATCATTTTAAGGATCAATCTTACATATTCAGCTCCATATTACCAATGTAAATCGCGAAAACTTGAAAAGGACAAACTCAAGCCATTTAATGGAGACATCATACACTTGCACGGATAAGATTACCATAAGACTTGAGCAAGACTATAGCTTTAGATTGAGATCGATTGCTACTTGTTTTTCTCCATTTCCATTGTCGACATAGGTTGTTCCTTGTCCGATTTGTACATTGGACGGGAAAAAGGTAAAAGGCGGTTGTTCCATCAAACTTTGGTTCGGATCTTTGGCACTTTCCTAACAATGGAATAAAAGTAAAAATGTTAAGGCAATGAAGAAAATTCATGAGGTGCATGGAAATGTAAATTATGTCTTGATTTACACCTGACAGTGAAAGTATTCAGAATCAGATAAGTCTTGCCCGTGCTGGCCCTTATGTTTTGAGTTCAGAAGAGAGGAAGAAGCTGCAGCTGAAGGAGGAGCCAATGTGAGAAAATCTCCACTCAGTCCTCTATTTTCTCTGATTAGTTCACTTGGATTTCGTTCAGGGAGAGGAATTGGGGTTGAAGGGCACTCTCTGAAAATATCATTAAAGAAATGCCGTTAGCATACTCTGCATATATTCGAGGGGTCAGACGAGCACATGAGATACCTGCTGTATATTTTTATGCTTGGCTCCATCTGTGTAGTGCATCTGTTGCTACATGAACAGGATTCATCTGAACCCGATATGGTAATTAGATGGCCGTGATGAATTTTTCCCAGGAAAGAAGGGGCTGGAGGAGTTTCCATAGAGAAGGGATATGACCTCTTTATGCCAACCATCTACATTTCGATCAGAACCAAATCAGATAAGCTACTAAAAATTGATGCACCTTCTGCTCGATCCCTACTAAGAACTATGAACATACACGAGTGTCCCGGATTTCTATCATAGCTAAAACAGAACCATTTCTATTCAAAACTGAATTAGAAATTAAATTGTCCTAAATTATATGTTAGAAAACCCCAGTTTAGATGTTTGGTACATTATGCTAGAATTCATTTGACAAAACAAAAATGAAGTCATAAATTATAAACAAATAGGTATACCTTCTC